TTGAAATGTCAGATGTCACACACACACATCCATATATATACACACACACACACACACATGCTTACAATAACGTTGTCATAGGTGTAATAAGATGCAGCTGCACGTGCATTAGCTTTACTGCATTTCACTTATGGACAGCCAGTCACCCAGTCACCCAGTCACCCAGCCACTCACAAACCCACGCACGCACGTAACTAAATACTTGCATAAGTTATGTTAAATCATACATACACAAATCTCTCAAGACATTTATGAGCTACTTACGCCTACATACATAGATATCTACTTATGCAAAAATTCTTACATAAAAGGATAAATGCATAAATATGTTTATGCATAAGCGGATTTATTGTAATTAGTAGGTGACTGTGAGAAATACAAAATCGCACATTGAAATCAGAGCTCAACACGTCGCCGTATGTTGTTGCATAAGTCGGTTAAAGTCTTGCGTGGTTGCAGTAGAGATGTGAGGAACGAAAAAAAAAAACCGATAACTTTAGTCGCGATATGGATTTGATTTGACTTAGATGAAATTACTATATTATAAAGTGAAGTGTATGTATGTAAATTAACAACTTTCAAAAAGTTTGATATTTTCGGTAAGGGTTGCCATATTTTTATTAAAGTGGACATTTTAAAACATTTGTAACTTTTATTTATTCTTAAAAAAAAAAAAATGCGGCGAAAAAAGCTTTTAATAGAAAATATGGGTTCTGCTGTAATTTGCATAGAGTTGCCACTTTGTGTAAACACTAGATGCTAAATATGAAAATTTGTAAACGTGACCGCCACTTAATTTTTTATTTTAATGTTTCCAAAAATCGATTTGATTATTATTTACGAAAATGTCAGCGAGTTAGGTTAGACATAGGCATTGCTATGTTGCCCATTGTGTTGCCAATTACTTAAACGTTTTTTTTTTCCTGCTTAAAATTAAGTTCCGCAGTTAGCTGAAGTCCACCCTAGAGCGTTCCCCTGGAGTGTTGATGAAATACGAGCCATCATATTTAAACCTTAAAATACAAACAGTGCCAAGACGCCTTGAACAAAAGTAGATCAATGAGTCAGATTTGTCAGATCATCCTACAAGTTGGTCCTGCGCAGTAGCTCTAGTGAGTGCTCTTTTGAATGTATCCCACGTCCTAGATTAATATCTAGTTTTAAACTACTAGAACGTTGCGTCTCTTTCAGGAGAAATGGCCTCTAAAATGTCGTCCATGTCTAGCTAATTCATCGGCCAAGAAATCTCCGGCAATGCCATTTTGTTTTAATTGGAATAAAATTCGAGGCACACCGCTTGACTGCCAAAAAAAGATATCGTTGCTGGACGGCCTCCTTTAAAGTGACCACGACTACCTCAAATGCGCTGCAAAAATTTATTAGTTAAAGTTCAAATTAACAGAGAGTTCCTGACGGAACACACCTGCTATAACTCTACCATCCAAATCTGTTTCAAAGACTGTCACGCAACCATTCCCAGCTTGCAGAAAAAGATCCATGGTAAGTTAGCTTCGGTACGTACCGATCCGTTTTATCAGGTACTTATTAAGTAGAAGTTTCCAAAGGATGCCGAGTGGCCTAATGGTGGCGCGGACATCGACGCAACCAATCGAGGGAAGCAAAGAGCTTTTTCTCGCCTTGAAAATCATTGTTAACCACGATTCTCCTGTCTACGCAGCTCACCTAGACGGGGGGTGACCCACTGGCATGATATCTGCTTGCAGTTGTGTAGAAATACCGCCATCAGGTGCCGGAGACTTGAAGAGCCTAAAAGAATTAATAACCCGGTGCAGTCTCGTTTCTTCAGTAGCAGTAGTTTCGCATGGTTCAAGATTTGTTGGAAAATAAGGATCGTGGAGAGATCGTATCCATGCCTCTCCGTTCATCGGCTAGTTGCCTAGTTCGTCGCACAAGTGTCGCATGGGAAGTCGTTTTTCACGAAGATGCGCCTGAAACGCTAAGATTCCTGTCAAATCTCTACGCTTTTGTAGAATTTCCTCCATAAGTCGTGATTGGTCTTTCTTATCTTAGATTTCTAGTAGCCCAGTTTGTTCACGATCGGAGTGTGATTCGCTCTTTCTTGCTGTATCGAATAGGCATCTGCTTGGCGTTATGAGTTTAGTGAGCTCCATAATTCATCAGTTCCGTTTCACTTGGCCTGAGCGCGGGTCGTATTTCTAAAAGATATTTAACAAATCTGTATAGTTTATATTCTCGGGGATACCTCTATGTGGTTTAGATATTTTTAGAACTATAAAAAGAATACTGAATCGCATGTCAAAGATATCGAAAACTTTAAATTAATTCTAGCTCCGCTCGAAGGACAACTAAGCAGTTACCGCTTCCAGAAAGTCTGTGCCTCAGATGTACATCTCTAGCATTAAATCACGCTGCGTTCCTATTATTATTTTATGTACATACATGACTAAATATATTATCGCGTATATTTGTATGCCCACCCGTATGTGGGTAAGCGGATTTCGTATCACTCGAGCACTCAATTCTCTAACTGCAACTCGTTGCATTTGCGTGTATTGACAGTTGCCATGTCAAAAATTACACTTTCACTTTTTAGAATGACATGGAATATGCATACATACATGCATACATGCATACACACCTACAAACGTCTAAATGTAGACAACGGAGGACGCGCTTGTGTCTTCTACTAAATGCGCACACACTCGCGTCTTATTTATGTACATTTACGAGTAAGTTGTTCAGATGACACTACACCGTACAACAAACAGTAAGTGGCTGAAGCAGGACTTAGCTAAATTAATTCTGTTAGAGCACAAATATTTGCTGCAACAGATAAATTTGCATTGACACTTATTACATAAAATAATATTTGTTCTAAACTAGAAAGTGATGTGATTAGTGCATAAATTATTAAGAAAACTAAGATGGAATTGTGAATGTAAGAACACTAATGAACCCGTATGGCGTTAAAAAAACTGAGTTTAAATTTATTAAAAAGGTAAAACCCTATTCAAAAACCTCAAAAAATATATGTATGTAGGAACCCAGTTCTTTAATGTGACTTCTCATTTTGACCTTAAAAAAATAAAATAAAATCTGGCAACCCTAATTAAAAATATTATCCGCCTACAGTTTTCTTTAAACTCTTTCGTGTTGTGTATAAGTAAAATAAATTCGGCTTTTCAAACAGGTGGCAACCCCCTCAAAAATATTTTCTAGTTAAAATCTTTTTATCGTCTGGAATTGTTATACATACATATTTCAATTAACTGTTGAATTGAGTTGAATTTGATTTTTTAAGCACATGGCAACTCTACTAAATACAGCTCAGAAATAAAATATTTTCAAACCCATTTCGATTGATACCCATCTTTTGAAAATCCATTTAACTTAATAAATAATTTGAAGTGAATTTTTTCAACAGGTGGCAGCCCTCTTATGACGCCCTTAAAAATTCTAAATGCTCAATTTAAAGACTTCTTAAAACTCGTTCATTTGATACCCATATTTTAAAGTTTCATGTATCTTATGCATAATTAAACTAAATACGACTTTCAAAACAGGTGGCAATTCTCTTAAAATACAATTCTAAAATAAAGGATTTTAAACCCGTTTCCATTATTGATAACCATCGTTTAGCAATTCATTTAATTTATTAGATAATTTTAATTTAACCTTTTAAACTGGGGCAACCCTCAAACACATCAAAAATATACGAAATTTTCAAACTAAATATTTCTTAAATCTCTTTCATTTGACATCAATTTTTAATATTTCATATAACTTGGGTATAAAATATTTAGTTCGACTTCTCAAATACTACCTTCATAAACCTCTTTTTTCCGACACTCATATAATGATATCTTATTCACTTACTAAATTCCTTTAATTAAAACTTAATTACATTTTTTAAACATATGGCAACCCTCCTACACGCAGTTAGTTATCGGTCTTAGTTAAAAGAGCCAAGTTACAGATGCACGACTGACTCCAGGAATTAGGGGAGCCGATTTTCTGTGGAAACCATTTTCGCTTCTATTTACAGTTGAATGAGCTGGACCCTTAGCAGGATGTTTAAAGGCAAATTTAGAATTGAAACTTCAAAGAACATGCTATGTATGTGCATAGTTACACCCTAACCTCAACATAAAAAAATGGCGACAAAGGCTGCTTTACGATTACGATTTAGTAAGCAAGTAAAATAAGCCATTATTTAGAATCAAAATTCATTATTCTGAAAAGCCCACAAAATACGAAAACATTTTCGCAAGTTGTTTCAAAAGCCACAGATAAAAAAAAGCCCACTTGACTGCTATGCAAAAGCTTTGTTGTACTCGCAGTAGTTAGCAACGCATTCAAACACATACAGAGAAGATGGTCTGGCCTGGCCTGCCTATGCAGCTCCGATGCAAGTGTGTGTAACCTTATTTGTTGTTGCAGCAGAGCATAAAGTGCATTTGAAATTTAATTAAAAACTTACAAAGTACATTTTATGCATGAAATTACTTTGTCCGACTAGCAAACCATGCCAAGTTGCCAGTATTTGACCGCCAGCATCAGCCAACTTCCTTGCCGGCTGGCTGGGTTTCAGCTTGGCTGACATAAAATGCAATCAATGCCATGTGACAGGGAGAGTGCGAGCGGGAGAGCAATGTAAAGAGAGGGAGCGCGCACGCATACATAAGAAGTGAGAGGAAGAAAGAGAGATATGAATTTCCGGCAAGAATGATAGAATACAAGATTGCGCCGATCAGAGAGGATTTTTGAGCGTAATTTTTCGGTGACGTCACACTGGTGCAGCTGCGAGAGAGCAATGTCAAAACGCGAACAAGAATGCAAGAAGAAGAAGACATTTTGCACGAAAAACGTAAACAATACGAAAAAATTTATTCATAACACATTAAAATAGGAAAATTTATAGATATTAAGCATATATATTAGCTTTAATTAAAGATGAAAGCATTGTTGTGGTGTTGTGCATATAGTCTTTATGGTAAGTATGAAAAATAATGTTGGGACAAATGTATGTGTTAAAAATGTTTGCCATTTCAGAATCAACGCTCCCACGAGTTAGTCGAAGATGAAATCTTTGAAAAGTATTATCAAAGGTATTCTAAATAATAATAATACAATCTAAATAATAATAATACAACTTCCGACGCGTACCTTGATGAAGGTGAGCAATTAGTGCGTGAGTCTGAGCACTTGCTGCAGACAATTGGCAGCGAAGCAAATGCCGCACTGCGCCAAGCCAACTCAGAGCTGGGTGCGTGTATAGACGAATTCCGTGAAATGTCGCTGCAGGTATCGAAGGATGTTAATCAATTGCAAGATACTGTGATGGCGTTGTTCCTAGCAAGTAGCTAGAGATTAATAGTTTAGTATAAACTTAATTCAGTACCTTATATTATTTTCAGGCGCGTTATAATCCCATTAAGATATGCGATTTTCTGCTGGAAAACTGTTTAGAGCCACTAATTTTGAAGCCAGTTTCATTGGACTACAGAAAGCATACCACAGCAATCTTCTCTTGCAGATATTTCCGATGCACACACAGTTGGCACTGCGCCGTTGAAATTATTGCGTCAGTGTTTGCGTCAATTAGATTTGTTGAAAAATGTTTGGCAGAATGTGTTACCCGATGCAATTTATAACAAGACATTTTGCGATATTATACATGATTTTTGTAATGAAATAATACGACGTATACTCGCAATGGAGGACATTTCGGCAACAGTGGCAAGTGAGTTGAGTGAGCTAATCGGTGTCATATTGGAGAAGGTGCCAACTTTATTCAAGGTAAATTTCTGATGGGATGCAATGATGCGAATCAAATGCTATTTTTTTTTTTGTACTTCCTGCAGCACAAACATGAAGTGATACATATTAAATCTTGGATAAAACTTGAGCAATTCAAAATGATACTGAATGCTTCGTTGCAAGAAATCACCGAGCAGTGGTGTGAAGGTGCCGGTATTTTAACGGCAAACTATAAGGCAGAAGAAATTAAGCATCTCATACGAGCACTTTTCCAAAATACCGATCGGCGCGCCAAGGCATTAACGAAAATTGTCTAAACAAGATACACTGCGTTTTTTCTGGTAGTATAAGATTTTTATTCTAAAATTTTGACTAGAATTTTCACTAGAAAAGTGCTTCATGCACACGTAGCTCGATTTGGGATTCAATAATGCACTTCCTCGCCGGCAAAACTGCATCCACTTTCTGGCGAGAGCTTCGTCCGTAGGAAACGAAAAAAAGCTTACATCGCACGCTTGCCTATAGTTTTCACTATCACAATTTGCCACTGCACACTTCATTTTGCCTTAGTATAAGTTTATAAAGTTTAAATAATCACTTTGAATTGCTTAAAATCTCGCAGAAATAACACACAAATAAATTGTTAAGTTCAAAATCAACAATTGCACCAGTGTGACGTCATACAAACAGCTGATTCTGTCAAATTCGTTAAGAGAAAAATAGCGGTACCGAGATCGGCGCAACCTTTGTATTCTCTCAATCGTGAATTTCCGGCATATAAAAGAAAAATTAAAAATGTCTGGGATGCGATTTTGTCTGCGCAACGAGCGTACACATTCGATTGCATATACATACATACACACATACATACATACATATGTATGAATATAAAAACCCTGCAGCGGAGAGTAATAGTACAGAGCTAGTGAATTCACCAGTTTCCGGAAATCGAATACCGGTACCTCGCAAATCTATCGCCCATGCTTTCTACTGTCGCATTTAACATGGAGTTGTCGTAGGAGGTGACTATTGACCCCTCCCGCTGCGTAACTTTGCCCTAGTACTTGTAGTAGTACAATGTAGCGTATAAGCGAACTACGTTTTTTTCGTTATGCACTTCACAGATACTTTTTCATAATTGAAAGTGGCAAATTAGCAAGGAAAGATTCGACCACATCCGTCCAAGATAGAACACGGCAGGTGTATCAATGGCTTCATTTGAAAGATATTCAAGAACCAACCCATTTAGCCAATGTTCGGGTAAACTTTTCATCCTTGGAAACATCGACGATTTTTGGCCCTCCAATTAAACTCCTAGAAAACTTATAAAGACTTTGATTGGCCTACCATAACGCATCGGGCCAATGTTGTAGTTGCAAGATCATTGGAGAGGGTTCTGCTATTTAATAGTTTCAACCGAAACTAAAAACTTTTACTTTGCAAACCGTTTTTGCGTTTGAATTGGCTAGTATTTATATACAAATGTACATATGCGTGTACGTATGAATGCGTAATATGTACGCGCAAACGCTATTTTCATATCATCAGATCTGCAGCCGGATTCCGACTTTCGCTGTCGCTAAAAAGCTAAAAAATGCTAAAGCTAAAATAGTTCCTTTCAATCCCTTCCATTGCCTTCCTAACCCTTCCAATGCGCTCCTATCCCTTACAATGCTTTCCTGTCCCTTCCAATGCTTTTATATGCCTTCCAATGCCTTTCCATTCCTTCCAATGTGTTCCTATCCCTTCCATAATATTAGCATCGAAATGGTTGTCCAGGTACAAAATTGAATCTATGCTAAACAATTACTTAGGTTAGAGTGTGCCACTGGAAGTCTTTAAGAGAAAAGTTGGTGAAAGTAAGGTATCATAAAGTTTGAAATTTATTTTTTTTTTTTTGGTTTTTTTTTTTTAAACAGCATCGTAGATGACTATCTAAGGAAGTTTTTCCGAAAGCTTCAGTATTAAACCTCAAGTAGTTGGAAAGTTATAACAATATTATTATGACCCGCACGGTTAGCAGCTTTATAGCTTGGAAAAGTAAAACAGCCCATTTTTTTACTAATGATTTCTATGTAAAAATCGATTGAGATAACTAAAAACAATGGGCCTTATGCATAAAAAGTGAGCTTTAGCTCAGACTCAATTTTCGCACTGATCAAGTAAGTAAAAGCTCAGAATTTTTACTGAAAATCGAGTCGGAGCTTAAGGCTATTTTTTATGCATGAGGCCCAATATTAAAAACGACTATAATTGAGAAAAATTACAAATAAATTTTCGTTCAGAATTTTCACCATGGAAACAGGAAAATTTTGGAAAACACATAGTACCATCGGATAGGCCGTACAAAAATCTATAGAAATCATAGTTTTCCAATTATTTGTCCCATTTCTGCCTGCTTCCCAGCTAGTCGAAAAGTAACTTGTTTTGCACCGATCAGCGCGCTTGGAACATTTTACGTGAATTACCCCATATATATGTATGTATAAACATGGATAAGTATTCAAAATTTACCAATTTGTATTTAAATGACAAATAACAAATTCCTTTGAGTAATAAGGGAGCATTATTATATTGAAACGACCAATAAGCCTTAGAGGGAGCAATATGTAACCAATAGCTCGATTTCTTACTACCTGGAGCATAATGTGCTATTTTAACTAGTAATGTGACTAATACGAAAGCGACAATAAATAGTCGCCGAACCCGCTGCAGCGGAATGCATAAGCAAGTACATGGACATGGCAAATAAAGGAGCGACACATTTACGGTTGTTGCAAGCTTTGCTATCTATTTACCAGTCAAAGCAACAACAACAACAACAACAACAAGTCATGTGGCAAACACTGTTGCATGCTAATTCATTTGTAGCTCAACCAGCCAGTTTTGGTTGCATGGACATTGTGATTGCATACATATGTACGAGCGTCGAGCATGCAAAACCAACAAAAATGCTCGTGCAATGAAATCAACAACAAGTTGCGTATTGGAGAAATTACTTTGCACATTCGAGCTGCATGCTGTAGCGGCATTTGGCATTTGTGTTGCGTTGCGTTGCGTTGCGGTTGAGGTGAACAGGTCAATTTTGTGGGTGTACAAAGTAATATCCGTTGCACTTATCACAGTGCACTCGCACACACACACACACGTACATGTATGCTGTTGCATATCGTCGACTGCCAAGCTATCCATAGTACATACATTATTTTGTTCATTCCATGCCATTGTTGACGAAGTTGATGTCTCGATATCCTGTCACTGTCGCAGGTGCACGCCCACAAGCCCATACAAGCTCTTATTAAACCAAGGATCGACTGTGCTGCATACTGCGTATTTGTGGCATGAAACTGGCCGGAGTACGAGCTGGTGCAAGTATATCAGTGAGTTATGTGCGACATATCTATATATACAAACTTGTACATACATACATACATATATGTATATGAGTGGCTATGTTCTTTTCTTCTTGCATATTTGTGCATAGATATGTACACACATATGTATGTATGTAGGTATCCATGCATCCAACCTTTCAACGCTAAATTGCTTCCTCCGCATTCTTTTGTATCGAAAAAGTCACTTAAAAGCCCTTTAACTCAATTATGCATTCACTTTCCGTTGCCATTTTAACGAAATAAAACAAATAAACAATTGTTGCTCATACGCCCCCACACGCACATTGGCACATGGCAAGGGCAGTTAAAATAAAACCTTATAAAAAGGTGAGTAAGAGAATGACAGCGTGCTGAAACATAGCTAAATCAATATCGATAACCTATTTTACTATTTTATAATTTATTAAAATTTAAATTGGATCCTGTAACTTATGCTGCGGTTGGTTCACTACAGGGTGACAAGTGAAAATGGAGGCAAGCATTTTTGACCGTTATTTTGGCTAATTTTCAAGAATCTACTTGGAATTACATTAGTACTGGGAGCTATTTATTTGTGCTTTTTCTGGCCTCAAGGTGGCGAGCTTTAAACGCTTGGTAAATGTTTCGGCCGTGTGCGTCGAAACGACACATATAACGAATACATATAGATCTATGTACATACAGTGGCGTGAAACTAAATAGATACGCTAGATATTAACAAGTTTTGGCCATTTGTGTTTTGTTTATTTAAGATTTATAATTTTTTTTATGAAAGTACAAAAATTAGGAAAATTCTACCAAGTCTTCTAAGTTTTGCTAAGTTACAAATTTTCAAGAATTCTATTGATTTTCTACGAAAAAGTGTTTTTCCCATATAAAATACATAGATACATAGACATTGAACGAGGGATACACCGCGACCTGGCAGGTCTATTGTGCCCTTATAAAAAGTATTGGAAGCTTCATGAGATTTTTTTTTTAAATCAAAAAATACGGGTATTTTTTTATTGCATTTAGAAAAATCCTAGGGTGGTAGATGTTGAACTTTTCCTTGAACTACCCTAATGTGCACCGTTTTTGTATGCTATTTAATACAAATGTTCTTACTCCGAAACTGGGAATAATGAATTTAAGGAATAACTTTTTTTCATTTTGCTCGTCGTTGCATTTTTTTGAACGAATTTCCATCATTGCCTGACAAATTTTGTTTGTAGGCAAATCGGGTACGAGGCTGCACTACTTTCAGTGTAATATTCCATAGTTTCGTTTTCGTCCGCAACTGTGCCTAGTACAAAAAAATTTAGCAGACAGACTACGCCAATCCATGACATGAACCTAATTGAATTTTCCAACTCTGTCGTATCCGATAAAATTAATTGCATCTAAAATTACTTGAAATGCCATTTTTTAATTAACTTACTAATATTTTGCTAACAAATAAGAAGCTTACATCTAAACATACATACATATGTATGTATGTATATCAGAAGCAAAATACACACATCTGTTCCCTTTAAAATGTTTGCCGGCCATGCATTTGTCCCCTTACGTTGGCCAACAACGCAAATCTCACACGAGGAATGCTACAAAAATCAATTACATACATACATTCCCTGCATTCATCGGCAGGGCAACTAAATCCTGCCAACTAACTACACGCCTCAATAATTTCTTCACTCTTCCATCCTAAGCACACTTGCCTTGCTGACTTCCACCAAACCGTACGCTGTTTTCCCCTACAGTTGCCATTTCTCTTTCTCCCGC